TATTCCCCATGTGTAACGTGTATACAAGCCAGTTTACCTTAGAAAGTCCACCACGAAGGCATCCCTCCCCTTAGGCAGTTAGCCCTAGTGTGCTTTGCCGTATTCTCAGTACACAATTGTTCAAGAGTGGTGGTGGTAGTAGTACTATGTAGTGGTGATCCTAAAGGGTTCAGGTTTTTGTTTAGATGGTACGCATTAGTCAGAAGGTTGAGAACCTCTGATCTAGACTATGAAACCCTTATATATTAAAAAGGTTCAGAGTTCCTATTTTTATAAGAGATTTTTATATGATCAATGACATTTATAAATTAGTTTTCTATTTTTAATAATAATAATGATGCTTATTCTTAGTTTACAGCGAGTTCCTTTCATATCGAATACTGATTTAATTTATGTAACCTATGGAAATTATTTTATAAATAGATTGAAAATGCATATAAATAGATAGCAGTATTTTTGTTAATTATTATAATATGAATTATTCCTGTTTCTTATGTTTTTAATTGTTTTCAGATTAGTTACGATTTTGACTTAATTGTGGGCATTGTCTCCAATAAACCAGGAGTTGACTATATATAAATTACTTGTATTTTGAAAATAAAAACAGAAAATAATATTTCATAAAAAACTTTATATACTTAAAAATTTTGTTGAGAATTTAAGATCATACAACATTTGATATGTGTATATATGTATGTATAACACAAGTTTTGGAGATCTAGGATTCTTACAGTGTGCCCTTAATATTATATTAAAAAAATTCAAAAGAATAAAAGGGAGCCAAAGCACGGACATCCTATTCAGTAAACTCCCTTTTTTATTCATCTGCATATCAGTAGCCCAGTAAGACAGCAAACCACAGGTAATTCATGTCCTGTTCGATTTCGAGTGAGCATATGGGCTAATTGGACAGGTATTCATAATTTGTACCATGTATATAATGAGAATACTCCAGTTTCTCATGATGGCATCCTTTTTTATACAGAAGCCCTTCAAAATTTTGCTACTACAAGTAATTTATCCCAATTATTCACATTTTTCTTGCTTGGATTTTTTTATATTACAGATGAACAAAATTGGCATAGAAATTAAAATAGAAAACAAAACACATGAAATACATATATATATATATATATATATATATATGTATTTCATGCTGTCTTAAGGTTAATTTGAATTAAAATTTATTCTTAGATTAATACAGTATAATGATTTATATTCTTAATAAATCTGTGATTTAACTAATCATCTGGTGGATATTTAAATTTTATATATTGAAAAACAGACTGTCATTATTAATAACAGCACAGAAAAATGTTCTAAATCATAAATATTTAAAATACATAACAAAATAATAATTTAAACATTAGTAGAAACAGTATTAAATCAGTATCACATTCAAACTGTTTTTAACTGCAGTATTTTTTTTTTAATTTTAATGAATCTGAAATAAATTTATCAAAAAAAATGCATTAATCATGTATGACAATAAAAATAAAATTGATGTTACACATCAGAGAAATATACAGGATATTTCACAAAGTGAGAAGGTTTTAAATCGCACTGCCATTTTTTTGCCTGAAAGTTGCCTGAAAGTACTGCTCTTATCAGTTTTGTTATCTACTATCACTCTAATTAATTTATGTTTTTTCATCAAGTGCATGGAGTGAGTCACTATGGAGCAATGCACTGCAGTTGTGAAAACTCACTACTAAAACTCACAAACAAGGAAGCTATGCAGAGATGTCTGTAAACATTTTGTGTTTACAGGTAAGTGTTAATTTCTAATATTAGACATGCTGGAGCTTTATGGAAAGCCCTCATGAAAGTGTTATTAAAAAAAGAATAAAATATTAATAAATAATGCAATACATTATTAATAATTTTCAAAAATATATAATGGGATAAAAGTATTAATGAAATAAGTTCAATTAATAAGTAAATAGTGAATCATAAAAATTAAATAATTCACAATTAATAAAATTACTATACAAATAATAATAATTAATATATAAATTATTAATAATTTTTGAAAAAATAAGTGATATGATAAAATAAATGAAAAGTGAGTAAATGAATAGAAAAACATGATGTCAAGGATAAAAGGAGGAAAAGTATTTTAATAAATATTTTTGCATTCAGATCAAACTGGATCTGTATTTTGGCTCCTAATCCATTTCAGATCCATAATTTCGCTCCTAATCCATAACAATTTTGCTGAGTTAACATATGTGCAGCTTTGCCTCCTTGATTGGATACAACGTAAACTCTATTCCACAGCTGTAACTGGTGTTAAGAATTCTTACACCTTATGATTATAACCAATAATGATGACTAGATTATGAGGTGAATACTCCCTTGGAGATAAAAAGAAAGACCGACATAATATATTTTATTTTAAATTGCTGATTCTTTGCAAAGCTATATATTTAAAGCAATTAATAAGGATTTTGCTATATGATTTGGATAAAAATTAACAATATTTTTTTCAAAATTTTAAATTTATTGGCATGCATTTCATGCTTTAAGACAATGGTCTTGGTGACAGGAAAGTTGGCTGCCACAGTCCTAGGCATGGGTTCAAATCTCAAAGAAGGCTTGGATGTTTCTAAGTATATTCTGCATTTGTGGCATGGAGACAGTTAAAATATTAGCCAGCCAAAAATCATCTCGAGAGACCAGTGGTAGGGTAGAATGGTGGGAAACCATCAACTCCATCTCTCAGATCCAAGATATCCATAAAAGTTGGGATGCAGCTACCTCCTTCACAGGTGCAACAGAGTTGGCCTTGTTATGTACCCTAGGCAATAAATGTTCTTGATAATCAAGTTGGATCGGTATTTTGCTTTTTCAATTGTTTTTTCCAATGGTTAAATAACTAATGAGTTCAGCCATTCCCAATGAATGTTTAATTGGCCAAAGGTCTGGCTGCCAGTCAATAAATAAACAAAATAACAATTCTTTCATTAAATAATTCTTAATAAATGAATATATTTTAATTAGTTATTATGCATGAATAATCCAAATTTAGTGTAAAAATTAAACAGAATAAAATGTAAATAAAAGTCAAAGAATAATCTGTGAAATTCTCTAATTTGCATAGCCCTTAATCTCAAGGTTAGCAGCTTATCAGAATTAAGTTCTTGTGACTGTATCTTACTCGTCTGATAATAACATCAAAAACAAGTCTCTGAATTTTATTGTAGTGAGAAGTTCAGGACTGAATCTGTTACTGGCATGAGCCTTAGGCACCTTAAAGATCCTAAGGTGCTAGTAATTTTGTCCAGTTCCATCTCAGTTTTCAAGAAGAATCTCCTGGGGTACAGGAGCCGAGGATCTCTCCAAATCATATCCTATCCTCTTCCTCATGTCACTCGAGAAACTTTCAGCTAGTCATGTATTTTAAGTACCCTTATGCTACAGAATACACATTATACACTTGCAATCATCCAAGCCCTTTCCAGGATTAGAGTCCAGGCAAAAGCAATATGCCAGCAACATTGCTAACCACTTTACCGATCTCTACAGCAAGCTACAATATTAGAATGCTGACAGTTGTATTTCAGCACAAGTTCTTTCTAGGAGTACAGTGAGGATTTTGTAATTTTTCTTTTAGCTAATGTTATACAAGCTACTTTCCCTCAAACCAAATAGGTCTTCAATTAGTAGGTGTAACATTACATACCGCAAAAATGTTCGGAAAAAATTATTTCTGGTTTATTGCTTTAAATATTAATACAAGACATAATCTTCCAATTAATGTTTCTGAAAATAAAGTAGGGAACCTTATGAAAATGGTTTTAGCATTGGGAGAAGCTGAGTAAATAAAAAATTTATTTTTTTTATATCAGCTCCATAAATTCAATTAGCAAAGAGTTAATTATGCTTTATGACATAAAATACAAAATGTTCAATACATGTTCATTAAAAATTCCTCAAGATCTTATTAATTAATATTTATATATGCTTCAGAGTATTAAGCTTTACATAAGCTTCAGAGTTGTTTCACAAAAAGTTGAATTGTTAATTGCCTAATCTAGCAACTTTTGATTGCAGCTCCTCCTTAACCCTGACTTAACAATTATTATTTCAAGTAAACATTTCAAAGCATTTCTAAAACAAATTATGAAATCATAGCAAATAATTAAACCTTAATGTGCAGATGAAACCAGCAAATACAGTATAAAGTCTTTAATCCGGACTTCCATAATCCGGAAAGATCTATAATCTGGACCTCAAAGCTACAAACTTTCTGCGCATGCGGTAAATGCATTATGCATTTATGCATGCGCATAATACGTTTACGCATGTACGTTTAATGTATAACGGACAGTATAAGCTAGGCTAAAATTATCTATTTTAGTTAATGTTGCAGATTGCGTTGTTCCTTAATCTTCTAATTGGATCCAGCTTATTATTTTTTTGCAGACTGTTAGAGCAATTTTATAAAAGGTAAGCTTGAACTTTCGATTATGTCAAAAAGAGTTTCCAATTCTGGAGCTGCCAAAGGATCTACAAAGCAAAAGCATGTTTCGATGTCCATTAAACAAAAAGTGGAATTGCTGCAAAAAATGGATAAAGGCATGAAGAAAGTGACAGAGGGGTGATTTGTTTCTCTAACCATTCCAAAATCTGTTTATCAATTTCACACTGCTCTGCGGGGGTTGGAAACGTCGCGGCGCGCAATGAACTGGAAGTTGATCTGTCAGCACTATCCTCATCTTCAGGGCAGATGTTTTTATTTTATTCAGCCTATAATTCCTTACTAAATGTAGTGTTTCATCTTGATGTACTCCAATATGTTTTAAATCAATTTCCTCGTCGTTATAAATATCATGAATACACATCAAATAGTTTTCTGGTTGCAATTTTCTAATTTCGACTATGCATAATGTATGCTTTACGCATGCGTGCATTGAAAGAAATGTTTAATAAAGTAAAGAAATAAATATTAAGTTTTTTGTAAATTTTGATACCCTTTAGATCATAATTGCTCTTTATTTCATAAATTACGATTTCATATTTTTAAATATATAATTTCTGCATGCCATCTTACCAGATTTAAATTGATTATCTATAATCCGGAATCAGCGAAGTCCCAACGAGTCCGAATTAAAGACTTTGTTCTGTAATCAATCTTTAATGCCCAGATGAGCCTGGAAGCATGTGTCGAAAACTTGCAATATCAGCTGGTGTCAGAGGCTGTTCATCTTCATTTATATGGCATACTGGAAATGCATTTCCATGATTAGAAAACTTAGCTTTTTTTGAAGGCGGTTCTTCTACAGTTCTCGAAGGCCCAAACAACGAAGATCCAATGCCTATTAATACAGCTACTGCTTCAACTTCGGTTACAGAAACTGAGCTCATAGAAGAAGCAGAACTAGAAGGCATGGCCAGGACAGTTTCCTTGGTATCTTCATTGCATTCTGGATCTTTGTATTCAGGAACAATTTGAAAGTCATTCTCATAAGACATCATGCCCCACCTTAAGCAAAATATTAAAAAGCACCATTATTATTCATTAAAAGGTACTTACTTATTATTGCAACTACCTTAGAAGAATTTGTATTTTAAGTTATAGTGATTTTAATAGACAGATTCTCTTATTTTTTGCCCTCAATTTAATTTTAAAACATCGCTTGTCAAATCTGCCAGCAATTGCAGAAAAAGTTCTGGTGGAGTACGGTATTTTGTCGGGAAATTGCTAAAGCGAACAATGCTGAGATGCAACTGGTAGATAGCCAGTGCACAATGTCAAGGTTCTTCAATTCTCTGATGTTTTTAAAGCACAAACAGATTACTGCATAGGAAGAACAGCACTAAAAAATCAGTGAAGGATTTCACAAAAAATGTGTATTTTTTAATGTATCACAATAAGCCTTATTTAATAATTAAATTTTGAAGTGCTTTTTCTTTTGACATGTTGATATGTCTGCAATAAATATCAAGTATGGCAATGTTTTTTAAAAATATGCCAATCTGCACCAAACGTGCACCAAAAAAGACAAACTGTGCCAAGGTGGTTGTGCATTAAGTACCTATTGAAAATATTACATTCATACAAAATATATAATAATATTTATGTACACTGCTCAAAAAAAAAATGGGACAGTGCTATATCTCCCGTTCTACTGGGGCGATTGACAAAATTCAAACTACGTTTTTCATGTCTTGAAAGCGCGACTTAGGATATATATTAGATTTATATATAGTACTATTCTAACATAGGTATTTTGACACAAAATCGGACTTTTTCTGAAATAACATACCAATTTTTTTACATATTTCGATTCTACGACTCAAATTATGCCAGAATACCAAGTTTTGTAAAAATCGTACGATTAGTTTTTAAAATATTAGCTCTCAAAATTTTAGCTCCTCAATGTTAATTGAATTTGGCAAATTTTATTTTTAATATCTCTTTTTTTATTAAACTTTTTTGATTTTTTTCTCTCACATTTCGAAATTTTGATTCATTCCAAATAAAATTTACCCATTTTTTGCGTTTTATTTTTTAAATTTTTTATTTTTTAAATAATTTTCTATAGATTTTTCGAAAAAAATTTTGAATATTACCTATAAAAATTTTTACCATCATCTTAAAGTAGGGTGTATTTTTAAGCATATCTGCAAAAAATTAGACTTTTTTACTGAAAATTTTCTAAGATATACACGAATTTACATAATTTCGCGTTTTGAAATTTGGCACCTTTTTTTTTGAGCGATAATAACGCCAAATGTGGTCTATGGATTTTTGTTACACTGAATTGCCACAGCTATTTTTAACCTTAAATTTCAAGTAAAATTTTACGGAGAATTAATTATATGACATTTTTTCCCTCAATGATGCGTAATAAATATTTATTAATACTATATGAAAGGCTATTTTTTTAAAAAGATGATATTATTCAAATTTTTTAATATTTTTTTTAAATTTCTCTCGTATCTTTTCTTTTTTTAAAAAATTTAAGAGTAAGTTTTTGTAAGAGTAAATTTTTACCTTCGGCGTTTTATCGTCTGCTACTTTACTTCGTTTAAATCGAATTGTCTAAAACTGAGAATTTTTCGTTTGATATTTATTTGAATTTTATGACATTAACTGCATAATTTATTTCTAAAAAACAAACTGTTGCTTTTGAAGTGGCTGAAAGAGCGGCTGATACTATTATCCATATTTTTAAAGCACAGTATATTTTTATAGAAAGCATAAGATTTAGAATAATCATTTTATATAAAAGTCAAATTATGATATAAACATACAACCCTCTAGAGACTGAATTAGTGGAAGTTCAGTGGTTTATGTAGAAATGATCTGCAGCTACTTAATGGCTGGATAAGTCAGGCAGCTTCTGTGGACAAGTAAGAATAATTATATAAACGACCACACAACATTCTGGATTCAATTAAACTACGAGGATACGATGTTTACTAAATGAATTAAGAAGTTTTAAAACATAAAAAATCAACTCATTTTTTTCCTAAAATGTATTTTTGTGCGTAGCGTATTTTCATTATATCCTTAAATTCTAATTTAGAATGTAATTGTCAAGAACTGAATCCTAATCATCAGTAATATAATAAGTAATTATTGCTGTTTTAATAAATCCTTCTTATAAAGTAATTGCAAAATTTTCAAAAAACTTTCTGTCTGAATGCAAACATTTTTCTATGCAAATATTTTTAATTTTATATTAATCAAGATTGCACACCATATTACTTATTTCCACTTCAATTCTTACCATCAATTCTAGTAGAATTTAAAAATCAATTATATTTAATTAAGGATTGAATTGGATTATTTAATTATGGCAAAGCACACGAGGGCTATCTGCCTAAAGGGAGGGATGCCTTCGTGGAGGCCTTTCTAAGGGAAACTGGCTCGTATACACGTTACACATGGGGAAAACCACAAAACTGCCCATGCGGCCAGCCCGTTCGCGGGATTCGAAACTCGAACCGAACTACCAGTGTTCAGCGTCTTTACCGCTCGGCTGTTGGTGGGCTATTTAATTAAGGAATGACCATCTAAGTTAAGAAACAGCGTACCGTAACAACATTTGAATTATTGGTTCCGTATCTTTCATGTTACTCCACGATTGGCTAGCTACATGATTTTTAATGAGTATTCGGGTTTTACTAGTAACTTTCACTTGGAAATCACGCTTAAACTAGGATTAGTTGGTTATTTGAACATAGGAAGAACATGGGAGCTATTTGATTAAAGATGCTTTCATAGATAATCTTTGTAAAGAGAACCTACAAAACTACGAAAAAACCAGCCATGCAGCCTGGGTTAGACTTCGCAGCAGCAAACAATTAGTTATTTAACAATCTTTTCTTTTTCAAATGTTAGGCAACTGGATGAGGCTCCAATAAATCTCCAATTTATATTTTATTTGTAAATATTTAAAATATTGTTGTATCTTTGACACAAAAAGCAGAATTTAAGTTTTGTTAACTCGTTAGTAAACTACCAAACCGTAGTGCAAATGAATATTCAATTTCTTTGTCAATAATTGTATTCACTTAATATTCTTGGAATATGAGCTAAAGAAGGAAACGTTCTCGGAAGATTAAAGAAGTGTTTAAAAATCCAGTGATTAGGTTTGTCTTACAAGCTCAGGATCAAAAACGATTCTGCAATTTCCCCGAGTAGTTGACTTGTAAATGGATGTGAATTAAGCAGATGACTTTTAATCTTACGTTATTCAGCCCAGAAAACGTATTCCAAATGTTTTGTATTGAACGACAATGCATCTTTTCATTATTCAATAACCAGTCGGAGAACCGCTTGTGTTCCGAAAATAAGTATGTGTACTCAATCGTCCTTGCATGTTCTTCAAATTGTCTTTTTGTGATTTTTTTTCCTTTCTCAAAAATTAAAGTTGCCTCTCAAAGGAAAGTTTTTGAATTGAAGAGACAAAATTAATATGACATCTACTTTAGAGGCATGTGAAAAAACAGATCTCTACAAACCTTCTCTTCCATTACATGTTGTGCAGTCAGACAAAAAGTTACATCAGCGTAAATTCTATAATCTATTTTTATTACACTCTGATTACTTTATTAACATACAGTGAATATATACTAAATCTTTAGCTTAAGTAATTCGGAATTTTTGACGGAATTGTTGTCGGAACTAGGACTTAAAAGATAAGTCAAATTAAATATTTCGATAACCCAGTAAATTCAAGTTCGAAATTTCAATATTTTATTTTCGGAGGGAGGGGAAATGTTTTCAGTTTTGGTCCATTATACTAAGTATATTTGCTTCGATTTTTTTATTTTTCCATAAAAGCGAAAATTTTAAGCATGGTATACATATAACTTAACCTTTTGTTAAACGGGTTTAATATGTTGTATACCCTTAAGAAAACTTTGAAGTAGGCAAATTATTGTTTTTTTTTTTTTTTTTTTTTTTTTTTTTTTTTTTTTTTTTTTTTTTTTTATTTAAAGACGTTAAATTCGATAAATGTCGAGTGCGCCATCCCTGTAAGTGAGAATTTCGTCGTCCGTGAAACCACGAATTAGCGATTAGAAAGTGTGAGATCGCAAATCACTCTCACAAGTGCGTACAGTCTGGGAAATCGTTTTCTTACAGATCGCTAATTTGTAATTTTTTTAAGCCTGAATTCGGCACTAAAACATGAAGATACTGATTCAAAACGCTTTTAATCGATTTGGGCCAAAGAAATCTCTCATGTTATCTATCTAGTTCCATTGCATTCTCCTACTGCATTCGATTGCATAACAGTCATTTCACACCGTTTACTGTTGAATGACAGCTAGTTTTATAACTAAACCATTTTTTTCTGAAGAGCAGTCGACAGTTGGACCACTGCGATTGCAGTTCCTTAGAGCCAATATTAAAATGTTTCGTGATACATGAACTGCAGTAACGTGGCATTTTAGATACTACGATTTTTATGCAGGGCACCACCTCAAGAGTGTCGCATAGTTACTTAGGCAACATTTCACGAATGAACGTCTTATAGGCCAACACTTCTCCTCTTCCCACCAGACCTCAACCTCTGTGACTTTTTTCTATGAGGTTACCTCAAAAGCACTGTTTATGGTGATAATCTAAACAATTTGGCAGAAATGAAAAATGTGATACACTGATAACATTCCTCCTGATATGCTATGTGTAACGTATATACGAGCCAGTTTCCCTTAAAAAGTCCTCCACGAAGGCATCCCTCCCTTAAGGCAGATAGCCCTCGAGTGCTTTGCCGTAATCTAATAAACCAAACCAAAACCAAAACCTGATATGCTAAGAGCTGCTGTTGAGAATGCAGTAACATGATTTAACTTGCTTTCGGAAAAATGCTGGACGCTACATTGAAACTGCTTTGTAACACGTTTCGGAAAATATTAAACACATTTTAAACAGATGTTTTCGTGTCTTATTTCATTTAACAATATTGTATACAGCGCCATTTTTCCCTGATGGTGAGTTTTTGAACTCTTTTTTTTTTCCACCGA